ACCTCCAGGCCCTCCTCGCCAGCGCCGAGCGCGAGGACGGCTCCATGCAAAACCTCCTCGCGGAGCTTTTCGAGGACCCGAAGTGCGCGGCCCAAGCCCTCGCCGCGCTCCGCGCCCGGCCTTCCGACCCCTCCTAGCAGGGGGGGGCGATCATGGGGGGATTCAAGTAGCCATGTGGCGTCTTGTTATTTTTTTTTCAGTCCGCCCCTTCCCCTAAGATATTTTTTGAACGGAATAACATCGAGGTCAAAAGGCATTGTGGGTTCATTGAGGTTTAGTGTGGATTGAGTGAAGGGGAGGGGAAAACGGGAGAAAGGAAAAAAAAGGGGGATTTTGCATGTCAAATGAACCTCGTTTGCTCTAATGTAATAAATTGATATCCTAAATAGGTAATTGTTTCATTAATACTGACTTCAAGAAAATCAATCCCATTAATTATTACTATATACATTTTCTCAATAATTAACATGAAGACATCGTATTAGGGTATGTTAAATTAGAATTCGTCATTTTGCTCAATCCGCCACTCATTTGACTTACCTATGGATTGTTACCCCACGCTAAACATCCTAACGTTCGTTCTACTTGACGATGACCATGTGATCAAAAAATAGATTTATGCATTGGCTTTCTCCCATTTGATCTTTAAAAGTAAAGGAGCACCCCTAGTATCGACTTTAAGAGGTTAGGAATATATCTATAACGCTACCTTTATACATCGATATCGATATATATAAATATATATAGACATATCCATATAAAGGTATCCATCTATAGGTATTTCACTCTCATCGTCATTGTGACTTGCGTTGTTATTATATCAGTATTTTCTTCACTCAGTCTCAGAATTTATTTTTTAAATTCATTCAACATAGGAAAGGGAAATCGCACCTTTGTCTTAACACTTATCCATTAATCATTGTCTCACAGGTTAGATTGTTTGTTTAAAGTGAGCTGCCATTTGTGGAGAAACTCTGCGGTGGCTTTTGGTTCTCTATTCTTTATCTGTATTTTTTTTGATTATTCTAGTATTTTCTATCAACATTCGCTCAGGGACTATCACCGCCGCCGCACGACCGCGCGCTGATGGAGGGAAAACAGTCCCGGTCCAATAAAAATGCTGGAAAAGAAATTTCCCACTCCACTTCCGCCGGCACCGCGCGCTCCGATCCGTTGAGTGGGATTTTGGGCACGACCGCGAGTTGTAAGTATATTAAACGGAAGCTGCTCGGCCAGGGAAGTTTTGGCAGCGCGTGGCGCGTGGAGGAGGCGTCGACGGGCCGCACGTTGGCCGCGAAGGTGATGGACCTCACCCAAATGAGCGCGAAGGATCGCGGATTCGTCACGAACGAGGTGAAATGTCTCTCGCGGTGCAATAATCCCCACATCGTGCGCTGCGAGGACTCCGTCGAGAAGGATGGGATGCTGCTGATCGTGATGGAATACGCCGACGGGGGGGATCTGTACCGGCAAATCAAAGCCCGCCAGCAGTCGATGCGCTACTTCCGCGAGCACGAGGTGATTTTCATCCTCCTGCAGCTGTGCATCGCGCTGGACCACATCCACTCGAACAAGATGATGCATCGCGACCTCAAGACGGCGAATATCCTGCTCACCACGACGGGGCTTGTCAAACTCGGGGATTTTGGCTTTTCGCGGCAGTACGAGGACTCCCTGTCCAACACCGTCGGCTCCACCTTCTGCGGGACGCCCTACTACCTCAGCCCGGAGCTCTGGCATCGCCAAATGTACAGCAAAAAGAGCGAAATGTGGTCTCTGGGGGTGGTGTTGTACGAGGTCATGGCGCTGCGCCGGCCGTTCGGCGGGAACAACATGGACGAGCTGATCAACAACATCTGCAGCTCCAACCGCCGGCCGCTGCCGAATTACCTGTCGGAGGAGTTGGTCTCGGTCTGCGATCAGCTGCTCTCGGTGGACCCGGCGAAGCGGCCCTCGCTGCGGGCGCTCTTCCAGCAGCCCTTCATCACGAAGAACCTCAAGACCCTGCAGCATAGCGTGGAGCGGCATAACCGGATCTCCGAGCAGATCCGCGCGGAGATCTCCCACTGCATCGCCGGCATCCTCCAGAAGGAGCGGCCGGCGAGCGACGCGGCGGGCCCGGGGCCGCGGCGCGGCGTCGTCAAGCGCCACACGGCCGGCTCCGGCTGGCAGGACTACGAACTCGCCCTCACCGACGAGGACCTCACGATGCGCTGCGTGGAGAGCGGCAAGACGGAGACCGCGCCGCTCTCCACCCTCACCTCCGTCTGCCCGATCGACGAGCCCATCGCGGGCGAGCGCTTCGTCTTCGCGGTGCGAAAGCACTCGGGGAAGGCGTACTGGTTTAAGGTTGCCGATAAGCCAACCTTCGAGGCGTGGATGGCCGCCCTTCAGGCCGCCGTCGCGTAGCCTCAAACAGCTGGGAAGGGGGGGGGAGGGGGAAAGCGTCGGAGGGCGATTAATGGGACCGCTTTTCATCACCAGCAGGACGGATGCTTTGAGTTCTTTGAAGAGAACCCCTCAGACGATGGAGTTCTCGCCACAGGCCTTTGGTTCCTCCCTTTTTATTTTTTTTCAGGCTTCCTCGACGTGGGTGTTTTTTTTAGGAGTGCGCAGCAAAATTGGTTCTTTTTATTTTCCCATGTATGGGTCTCCGCATGGAAATGAGTCTGTTTGTCAGCCTTTTTACACCTCAAACCTCCGATTCCTACGATGGTATGAGTTTGACTTTGGCGATTTTCGAAGATTGCGAAGTAATATCGCTAATGACCGAAAGGGTGATAGATTCTGGGTGTATAATGTGTGCGGAGGTGGAACCCTATACCTTTGGGTTTCTGAAAAGGGCGTACAACTGAAGATCGGAATATAAAGGGTCATAAGATAGGGCAAATTGAAGTTGACGGAGTAAACTTTGTTTATTGTATTTTTGTGTGTATTTTTTGTTAAACAGTTCGCTTTTCCTGTACACTTGGCTCTTGTCTGGATTAGTGTATTTTTAAAGAGAAATACCTTATTACAGGGAAGTGCAAACAGGTTGGCGAAAATATGTCAACATGCCTTTGTCTTTCTTATAGTACACTGTGATGTATCATACCACAGGATATTGATTTCGCTGTGTGTTTAACTTCTTCGACATTCGGTAATCTTTACAAATAAATCAGACCTTTTACTAGCCTGCTCAAAAAAAAAATTTGGTCTCCTTGTGTGGCAGGCTTGTTTTATACAAAATGAATCGTATCAAAACATAAGACATTATGTCATTTATACAAATTGTCTAACTTTGCCAGAATTTAAAACAACAAATATGTAAAGCCGTGTTGTCGTCTTGCATCTCTTGGAATTCATTATTGTGATTACCTATTTTATTTTAAGATTACTTGTAAACCCATTACCGCACGCTTACTTTATTACCGAAGAGTTATTTTTTACCTCAGTGTTCTTTTTGTGCACATGTTTATGAATCATTTGGACTCAAAACAGATCCTTTTAGTCACTTAAACTCTCATCCGAACAAGACCATCTGCATAAATGTCTACAAGGTCTTTTTTAATCATAACTGATCACGGGATTTTAACCCTTGTTTTTGCAATTTTAATCAGAAAATATTTATTAATATATATTAGGAAATATATTGCATCTCACCCTTGGCGAAATAAAACTGAGCCCATCCTTCAGGTACCTTTGACATAGACACCGTATGGGATAAGACCTTGAAGTATATATATATATATATATATATATGTATATATATATATATATATATATAATAGTTATGTTCACTATCATTCTTTGTTTTTATTCTAATCCTTTTTGCGTTTGTTGTTTTTGATGTTGGCTGATCTTCGGATATTCGGAGCTGGAGTGGGTTTTATAACGTGTTGGTGCATCGTTCTTTCCCCTCTTTATACTCAACCTTCATTCTTTAATCAAGCTTCTATACAAACATAAGTACCGAATCAATAGAACGATGTGCGAGACAAGCAAAGATGCTTCAATGAAGAAATTGAGTGAATGAAAAATAAAAATCACTTCCATAGACAGTTTACTCCCTAGATTAGATTGGCGCCAACTCGAAGGGCAAACCTCTCTGCTGGAGTTTTCCGTTCTAGATTCTAACAGGATCACTCATAAAAACAAAAAGCCGAACGATTATCATTCTCACAGCAAGGACTGGGTAAATAAAAAATAGTATATCTATATCTCTCTATCTATCTATATATATATATTAAACGTATTTCGTATACCTATCATTGTTGGAGTGATTCCGCCTTTTTCGAGGCGCTGCCCGAAATTCTTTTTCTCACGCGATCCCCGGTCTAATCGATGGATGAGGAGATTAACGTACGAGGTGCGGGGCATCAGCGAATAGGATAGGATGATTTCTTCACTATACAATATTTTAACAATACAAAACAGGGGACTTTAATTTCTGAAAGCGTGCGGGTGGTGGAGAGAGGTTTATACGCGTTTGGACGAATAAACATTTGGAGGATTTCCCCTCAGACATAAAAGTGAGGCAATCCCTCACGTGGGTGATAGTGGGGATTGTGGTTTAATGACATCATTGAGGATAAGACTGAGATGGTGGGGTATTCAAAGTCGAATTGAAAGTTTTATGTTGTATATCGGGTATAATATCCAAATAGGGACTACTATTGGGATGCGTCAGGATAGCCCAAGGCCCTGTAGGTGGCGTGCACGCATTCACAAAGGTCATTTGATACTAAAACTATGAGGGCTATACTGATCTATCGAAATGAGTGTGTTGAATTTCTTAGTTTTGTGAGGGTGAAGTGCAACGTCGAACTCAAAGACCGTGCTCTCGCTCTACATACCCCTAAAAAAAAAATGCTACCACTTTTCCCCTTTACCAATCCACACATTTCCTATCTTTCTTCCACCCCCATAGGTATTATCATCATTATCACTATCACTATCATTGTTATTAATATTGTTGTGTCACTAAATAGAATTAACCGATTCTTGCCAAAAACCTAAAGCCTAATAACCCATCAACTAACCTCGCTCTATTACACCCCCCCCCCCTCCCCCCCCAAACCCAAAGCCATGGTCATGTCGGGGTTCTTCGCCAATACGCTGGTGCTGCTGCGGATGAAGTGGCACAGCCTCACCCACCCCGTCACCGTAACCCGCGACGCCCCCGACCTGGGCTTCTGCTATGATCTGCTCAAGGCGGTCTCGCGGTCCTTCGCGGTGGTCATCGCGCAGCTGACCTGCCCCGCGCTGCGGGACAGCATCTGCATCTTCTACCTCACCCTCCGGGCCTTGGACACGATCGAGGACGACATGAGTCTCTCCACCAAAGTTAAGCTGGAGCAGCTGAGGAGGTTCAGCAGCCACCTCAAGGACCCCACCTGGCGCCTGACGGATGTCGGGGAGGGCCGCGAGCGGGAGTTGTTGGAGCAGTTCCCTCGCCTCGTCCGAGAGTATCGAAAGCTTTCGAAGGAGTTTCAATCCGTCATCGCCGATATCTGCGAGCGGATGGCGGACGGCATGTGCGAATTCCTCCAGCGCCCAGTCCTTACGCTGGAGGATTACGATCTTTATTGCCATTACGTCGCCGGGTTGGTGGGGCATGGGCTGACACAACTTTTCGCCTGCACGGGGTTAGAAAATCCGTGCTCGGGGGATACCTTAATTAACGCAAATCACATGGGGCTTTTTTTGCAAAAAACAAATATCATTCGGGACTACTACGAGGATATTGTCGAGGAGCCACCGCGAATGTTTTGGCCGAAGTGTATTTGGGGCCAGTACGTCGGGGAGTTGAAAGACCTCCAGCGGGCCGACGCGACGGCCCTGCAATGCTTGAACGCGATGATCGCAAACGCTATGCAGCATATTCCTCATGTGATCGAATATGTCGTCTCCCTCAAAGATCCCTCCATCCTTCGCTTTTGCGCGATCCCGCAGCTGATGGCCATCGCCACGCTCTCGAAAGTCTACCACAACACCGACACCTTTAACACTAAAGTTAAAATATCTAAACCCGAGTCCTGTCGGATTATGCTAGATTGCAATAGCGTTTATGACTTCACGTGTATGTTCAGCACGTATTGTGAAAACTTCTTGGGGAAGTTGGTGGAGGACGACCCCAGTACACCAAGAATTCGTGAAATTCTGATCGACGTAATAAATTCTCTGGATGAATACAAACATCAGTACCTTCCGACTCCATATGCTCGTAGTATCATCACTCGCTATCCAGGTCTTGGTGGACACTTTTTACTTCACACGCTCGATACAGTCATCAGCTTTTTGGGTGGTCCGACAAGCTCTCGAGTCGGAAGGAATATCCCTCGAATGCGTTAAACTTAAATTCCAAATGTATAGTGATTCACATCCCTATGTGAACTAAACCATTAGTAGAAAGTGAAATATTAGACATTTGAAGATAATTTCAAAAATTGCTTTTATTTTTTATTTCTCCTGTTCGTTTATTTTATCCTTTTAAATTTTCCACTAGAGGTCTTACCTTTTCCTTTAATACAAGTAAAAGAAAATAATAGCTAGTAGAAAGGTGTTTGTAAGAAGTTTTGTAGAAGAAGAATTGTGATTCTATTGGAAAAAGAAAAAAAGTATGATTATAGTGTTCTTTTCTAGTTTTTTTTTATAAATTAAATCATGCTAAACCATTCAAAGTTTTCCGAATTTTATATGCACATGGATCGCTGTGTTGTATATGCTATATAGTCTTCATGGTTTATTGCATGCTTCAAAGTAAATATCAATATGCTGAAAATATTTTCCTAGGATGATCCTTTATGTATGATTGATTTTTATTGGTATAAACTCCCTTTATGTTATTGAGATGTGAAAAGTTTATAAACAAAATCTATATTTGATATGATATCGTCCACTATCCTTTTTCCCCTAATCTTTATTTTGTGGTAATGGTCTATTGCCTTCAAACAAAAGGTCAGGTACCTTTTTTTTCATTTTCAGAGGGAAAGGCATCTATCATACCGTGGACGCACGTCCCACTAGAAATGAGTAAAGGTTGATGAACACCTCAGAGAAATGCTTTCGGATGGTACTCAGTGTGGTGGAGGGGGTTCAACCCATTTTGAACGTCGATAAATAGCACCGTGAAGGATAACACGGCGATTGCGTTCTTGGGGCCTACCCCATCACGTCCTAATCGAAATTCTCATTTAGAACCTTCAACGTTTTTTCGAGGAGGACAGCCTATCTGATCTTGGCATGAACAAAGAGGAACTCAGCTGGCGAATACCACGACCTCTCTCCTTCTCTTTGATGCCTTATAATTCGTTAGGCGACTGCCCTCGCAGGAAAGTATTTACTGCCTCTTGAAATGGTAATAGAGTTCTTACAAAAAGAGGCCTTTGTGTATTCTGCTCATTGGATACTATATTACATGAATGGATCTATAAAACACAGCAACTTCCTAAATCCATCTTATCACACGGGATGGAATGAATTACACTCACAGGGCTGCACGATAACGTCGTAGCTAGCGCGAAGATGGCTCGCTGGATAGGGTTAATCTGTGAAAAAAAATAAAAAGGGGATTTGTATTAGTCATTTTAAAAATATCTGCTCTCAGCCGTCCAACCTCGCGGGTGTATTATGGTGTCATATTAGCACTGCTTTCTTGTTATTTTGTTAGTGTCCATGCACATTCAAGCACGAACAGCAAAACTTTGGCATACTTGTTTATATATTCATTGCCGGGCGTCTTGGCGTGGCAAGTCTTTTTAAAATAGGTTCATTATTTAAACTAATGCACATTATATGCTATTTTTTTTTAATGAGAGCAGAGCAAAGAGCGAAAAGATGTCTCACTTCGCTGCAGCTGCTGGTGAATGTTTCCTGTGTGTAAATCTGAAAGTCATTAGTTGAACTTTCTCCACCTCCTCTGTGTGTGTGTGTGTGTGTAATACATAATAGAAACCTTTTTTCACAGTTTAACATTGAACGCGCATTTGAGAGAAACGGACCACGTGCGTCATGCCCTCCTCAGATGATTATAGTGGTAATGACGATGGTGCAGGCATATCACGATACAGAAAAAATAACCTTCACGACTGCTTTTCAGCTGCCGCCATTGCCCTAACGAAACTTTATCAGGAATCCAGCAATGCCTACGAGGATGGCTACCGTGATGGGCTGCTTTACGTCTATCGCTATGTATGGCTCACCTCGCGCGTACTCAATGTTGCCATTGACAGTGAAGAAGCCCCTAAGGACAACGCGTCAAACACAGTTTTTGACGGCGAAGAGAGGTCTCTTTCCTCAGATTCAACAGTCGCCTCGCAGAAACTGCTAAATTTTATTCAAAAGACCTTAAAATTACGCAAAGAACGGGTGGCGTGTGCGCGGGGTACGGCGGAAGGGCGTTGCCGACCGCGTGATCACTCACCGGAGGAGGAGAAAGTGCCTCATTATCCTACCACTGCTCCCGCTAAGTCTTTACCACCTCTTTCCGACCCTTCCGCTCAGTTAAAAAACGAAAAAAGCACCACTACCGAGAAAGATGAAGCTTATTTAAATGTAGAAGCTATTAGAAGAAGTGGTGCACAGAGAGAATGTGCCCTACTGAACCTTAGAGAAGCGCATGCCCATGATATCGCGGATATCGATTGCGGGCGAGTGAATGAGTTGCATACAAACGCTAATGGAAATCATCATAGGCATTTTCAAGAGATGGAACCCCCCTTTACACGGCTACGCTGCCGCAGCCCCATGGATTATCACAGAAAATAGTTTTCCAGATAACAAAAAAGTAGCATTCCTAAGTTTGCTACTCACTTTTTGGATTTATTTTAAAGTTTTAATCTTTTTTTTGCTGTGATTCTAGTTATTATTATCAATTTATTCAACGTTTTTTCCTTTTTATAATATGCATATTGACTCAAGTGAAAAAGAGATATAATAAGAAGTGGCTTAGATTTTTTTTCCTTTGAATTCTTTTTTTCCTTTTCAAGGACTTATAGAGGTGTAAGCACACAAAATAATGGAGAACACAAGTGGTCAGGCTAAAATAGAGCATTCCGAGCCCTCCTTTCCGATTCCGCGCGAAAGAAAACGAAAAAGACAGCCGGCATCTAGTGAAGTCCCAAGATATAACAATGAAATTAAAAATGAAAGCCGCTCCAACTCCGCTACCTTCTCACTTAGCGAAGGGCAATCGATACCGTCTTTTGTAGACGTCGACGATACCATGCAAGGGAGAGTACCAATTGCCCCCAAAGCAGAAAAGGAACAGGAAGGAACTCAACCACCGCAACCCTCTCTCTTTTCCTCCCCATTTAGCGGCGGCGGCCTTTATTGTCCCGAGGGGGATCCCAGCGATAGCAATTCCAACCACATACGGGCGGAAACCGGCGAAGGGAGTGACGGCACCAGCCCTAAACGTCCCAGTGGGCCGGACCCCCTGAACTTTCCCACTGGAAAGGGAAATGGGAATAATGGCACAATAAGTGCAACAGCAGCCCAGGGTAGTACAGTAAATGCAACAGCAGCCCAGGGCAGCACTGTGAGTAGTAGCCCACACGGCTTCGGCGAGGCCCGTCGCATGAAGCAGCCGACACTGGCCGTCTACGGCGTCGTCAGCGACACTGCGGCGCTCAGGCAGGAGATCGCCCACCGCGACGCGCAGGTCGAGGAGCTGCAGGAGAAGCTGACCCGGGCGCTGAGGGAGTTGTCCGAACAGCGTGCCCACCTCCGCGCCGAGGAGCACCAGACCAAGGGCCTGCAGGCCAGACTGGGCCGTTTCCAGCACACGCTTCGAGCGGAGCTGCGGCGGGCCGCGGTGCAGGGCCGCCACGAGGCCCGCCGTCAACTGCACCAGCGGCACTTTGAGCTAGGCCATGTCGTGGCGTGGCAAGGCGGGGTGCGGCAGATGTGGATGGAGGGGTCTGTCGTGTGCAAGCTGATCCACGAGTTGGAGGAGGTCAGCCGGCGGCGTGACGCCGTGGAGGGGCTCAAAAAGGCCGCTCACCACACTGTCAAGCAGCTACTCCGGCAGGAGCGGGATCGCGATGAGTCGACGCCGGGGTCTGAGGGCTTCAACGCGCTCATGGAAGCACAGGAGGAGCTGCAACTGCGTAGCACCGAGCACGCCGCGCTCACCGCAATGATCGGCACGATTCGCCAGCGCCAGGTGGAGCTTGAGAACGAAAAAAAGGCCTTTGTGAAGGAGGTCCGGCGGATTAACGACGAGGATGCCTCGGAGTACGTTAGCCACGCAGCGATCGGCGATGGGGAGCGCTATATCTTGATGGATTTGCTTGGTAAAGGAGGATTTTCAGAGGTCTGGCGAGCGTTTGATCTGGCAGAGGGGCGCTACGTGGCGTGCAAAATTCATCACGTCAATCGCGATTGGCCGATGGCAACGCGTTTGAATTACCGCCGCCGTGCTGAACGGGAGCTGGAGATCATGCGGGTTTTGGATCATCCGCGTCTTACGCGGCTTTACGATGTTTTCCCCTTAAACAATACGGTATTTGTCTCTGTGATGGAATACAGCGCAGGGATGGATTTGGATACCTATCTGAAACGCTATCAGCAGATGCGTGAAGCCGACGCGCGACTGATTTTACTGCAGGTTGTTGCTGCCTTGAGGTATCTTTCAGGGTTGCCGAGCCCGGTGATTCATTACGACTTAAAGCCCGCGAATATTTTATTACATTCAGCTGATCCCGGTGTGCTGGATGTGAAGATTACCGACTTTGGGCTATCGAAAATTATCGCAGAAACGCGAGAGGGGCCGAGTGATAATCCGAGTATTGAACTCACCTCGCAGGGTACGGGGACTTATTGGTATCTCCCACCAGAGTGTTTTGATACCTCTTCGACCCCGCGCATTAGCAATAAAGTCGACGTTTGGTCTGTGGGGGTAATCTTTTATCAGATGCTCTTCGGTCGCCGCCCTTTTGCCGAAGGCGAATCGCAGCGAAAAATTTGGCAGGAGAAGCTTATTATTGAATCCGCGCGTACGTTAAACTTTCCGGAGAGCCCGAAGGTTAGTGAAGAGGCGAAGGAGCTTATGACGAATTGCTTAGCGTTTAACGCAGGAGAGCGGTATGACGTTTTTCAGCTTAGTCAGCATCCGTACTTATTTCGAACGGGAAGGCGGAGCACGAAGGTGAGAAACACTTTTTCAAGCGCGCCATCTGTAGATGTCACTCCCTCCTCAGGAGTAAACTGCAGCAATAATAATAATAACGGGGATTCACCCGCGTTGCCCAATACAGTTCTCGTAAAATAATAATAATAAAGTATGTTAACTCTTCAGTACTTTATTTCCACTCTGGAATTTTAGGGTAGTGATTTGGAGTGGGTAAAGAAAAACATCTTTATTAACCATTTTAGAATTAAAAGGGGTGTGTTTTGGCGTCGAATCCGTTTTTTATCTTGATAATTCACTATCTGGTAAAGGTAATATATATATATATATCTGCTAAAGAAAAGGAAAAATATCCTTATTGCTTAAATTCGTTATATGATAATATCCACATAGAAACAAACCTGCATGAAGAGAATAGAAAATATGCAAATATACATAGAGAGAAATAGGGAAAATGAGAGAAAACAAGACTTATCACCCCCTCCAGGCAGATAACATGAATTCAGACTGAGCATTAAGCCTCTGAATTGTATTGATCATTTCATAATATAACTTTTTTTTTCTTACCTACATCTTTCGGAAAGCTATTATTAGTATCTTTTAATGTGTAATTCCGATCATCACTCCTCAGACGCATTACCTTTAAAGAAGAAGTATTCTACGTTATTATTTATTTCACTTAGACTCCATCAATGCGAAGTTTCCTTCCCTTTTTAAGCTCTTCTTCACATGGTCTCACCGTATCATTGATATCAACTCTTTCTAAATGCTCTAAGCGTTATTTCACGCCCCCAAAGATTCCTAGTCAGTTTATTCCACGACAAATGGTGGCGCTGTCAATCCGAGATAGTGAAGAACTCGTGGAGGAGATCGCTGAGGCCTATGTTAATATGAATTTGTCCACGCAAGAGGAGTTTCGAAAGGCGGCAACGGAAAAGATAATTGGTGGTGAGAAGGGCAAGCAATTATTGACATCAAAGCCTAATAGCACGTTAGCAGATGAAAATACTTAAAAACACGTGTAAAGGTAGCTTTTAGAATATTGCTTTAGGTCATGATGACTATTTAGAATAGCGATACTAATTGTTGAAAATTTCCTCGGGGAGGGTACCATCCTCTGTGGTGTTTGTGTAAAATATTTTTTTGTGTGTGTTTACCAATACGCAAACTAAGATGCTCATACTACAAGTACTGCATTTGGTATTTAAAAAAATCGAACAATATGTATACATTTATATATACATATAGTTTGAGGTTATGAAAACTAAATCGCTTTCCCTTTTCTTTTACAGCAATTTCTTATAGAATATCGGATTACTTTTTTGTATAGTTCTCCCCCTCACTTCTTTTCCTCTTCTTTGCCTTTTAAACAGCGAACTTGACATGATGGCGCCGACCCTCCCATCTTTTTGGGGGTTGGTCGAGGTCTTGACGTTTCTGACCTTTGATTTCATCTACGCCCGCTCATTGAGCAGGCATAAAAACAACCACCCCGAGCTTGAGGAGTGCGCGCCATCAAATTCACCGGATTTGGACCCCGTTGGAGTGCTCGACGGCCTCACTAAGGCGGCTGAAAAACCACCCGATCATTTAACGGGCGGTGGGGTTTTTACTCTTTCTTTCACACGTGATCAGGCCCCAAGTGAAGTCCTCGTGAGGGAAGGAAGAATTGGCAAAGGCTTTTTCGGCGTTCTGCACGCCATGGTCGTTCTTTGCGGGATTTCGGCGCCGATCTTAACCCTTCTCACGCTGCTTTTCCCTTTCACCTTTTCGTGGACGCTCTTTTCCTTCCCTGTGTGGGTTTCGTATCTTGTCGTGACCCCTGGTTTGGGAGCTACCGCGCTTTACGTAACGAGGGTAATCATGTTGTTGGAGCTCGTGGAAGTGACCAAAACACAGTGGATATCGATGATGTGGTTTCGGCTGGATTTTATCTTTATCATGAGCGTGGTCGCCTTTATCGGGGCAGGGGCTTGGCTGATCACCCTTTGCATGATAAGTGTTGCTATTTATTCCGTCTATCGTATTATTAAAATTGAAAAACATCTCAATCAACTCCATCGGGATACGCAATTAATGAGGGGAGAGGTGGATGTTGATACGATAAACAAATCAGGAACTGTGGAATCGAAGAAAATAACAGAAATTCACGAAGCACATAGTTCTTCTTACTTATAATTAAATTTTTATTACGCTTGCGAACTGCTTATATTTTTATTCTTTTGGGGAGGGGGTGCATGCGTGTAAACTATCCCAAAATATTTGCTACAGCTCTATTTTTTTTCAGAAAATTAAGAATAACACGTCTTTATCGTTTCCACCCCCTCCCCCTCCCCCTTCCCCCCCCTACCTATTCACACACTGAAAAAAAGGGTAATGTTCCCCCTGCTGAATGACCAATGGTGTGTAACATAGCGTGATCCCTCCCTGCTTTAGAACCGCACTCCAATCTTATGCCCCACCTCTTCCTAGACTGATTGTTTTCCTTATTGATTA